TTGTTTCATTGGATTTGAATTCACAACCTGGCTGTTGCAAAACATACGTGATATCGATACTCGTGAACAGGCAGTTAAATTCGGCAACGAGTTGATCGATCATGGCTTGTTCCAACATGTGGAGAAGAGACACAATTTCCGAGATGGCAACTATTTCTACCAAGTCTGTGCTGATTATCGTGTCACTCGTCCAGAGTCTCGAGGAAGCTGGTTCCCTCAACTTAGGACAGACAAATCGATGCCGTCGACACCCGCTATCGGGACTGTCAAGGACTCTCCTGCCAGCCTCAAAGCTCGATCAGACAGCATCGACGAGCGCATACCACAGACTCCTAGCACTCCCACCAAGGCGAAGAATAAGGTCGCCATCATGTTGTCCAAGTCCATGAAATTCGATGTTGATCCGCGCAAGCGGTCGAATCGGCCGGAAGTGATTGATCTTCATTGGGACCGACTACATAACCCCGAGAATTGCTTCCATATCGAACTCAGCTGGATGAGCACGACCCCCAAGTTGATTGAAGATACCGTGCTTTCTTGGGCTTCGACCGCAGACAAATTCGGGCTGAAATTGGTACAGGTGCCGATCGCCGAAGCCTGTGCTATCGACAAGACGCAGCCATTCCGGAAACCCTACAAGGTCACACTCAAGATCCCACCACCCAAAGGGCCATTGCACACTGTGTTCAACAATGCGTCATTTGCGCAGCCGGGTCCACCGGATCGCCTCTACTATCAGAAGGCCATATTGCGAAAGTTTGATTTCGTACTTGACTTCGAAGCCTCCTCTGCATTCCCAGCAGACGTTGAAGTCTCTTACTCCTGGGGAAAGCCCGACTACAAGTACCCGCAGTTCATCCACCGAACCGGAAGCATCCTCGCGCAGATCACCGACGAAGGTGAGTTCCTTGTCCTTGCGAATCGGCTGGTGAGCACCCGCAGCACCGCGAGTCGAGACGCAGCCCGCTTTGAAAACCACAATCGGTCCGACTTCCGAGGCCGTGATGGACTTGACCGCATCTCGCCCCGACTTTCTCCAATAACCCGGCCCGTTCATGACATTGGAAGCATCGGCAGCCCACTTACCCCAGCTGGATCAGCAAGCCTCGACGCGGGAAACTTGTACCGCGCTCCGGAACACATTCTTAATGGCCTATCTGAGTTCTGCAACGATGCAGCCCAACTAGAGCAGTTCTACTCGGAGTCGCATGCTCGTCCGTTATCCACGAAGGTGGAATCGACTACCGCAAACCTAATGGATGCATCGATCCCGTCCCTCGAGCTTCCTGCCAGCGTAGTCAGTCATCATATCCCACTGCCGCCAGGATTACCATCTCGGATCACCCGTGATTCGCGCGACGGACTGATATCACCGGAAATTACACTTGCCAGGGCTCGGGCAGAAAGCATCAGCTACAATCCCAGCCCTAGGAGTGGCAGCTTACGACCCTTGATCTGACCATTCGACGATACCCATTTGATGCTCTGATGATTTTGTACCCAAATGAAATGCGATATTAGTAACAAAAGTTACCGTGAAAAGAATTTGATTTTATTCGACTCTCCACGTATCCCGTACAGATTTTACATATTCTGATCTCGATTTAAGAGGCGAATCCAAAAATATCCAGCCTCTCGATAAAATTCCTCATCAACGCTAGGCCAAGCCACCATGCATTTTAGCCTGATATCAGCCATTCAGCCGATGTTCAAACCGCACCAATCCAACGGTGTCTCCCACCCCGAGGATTTGCCCCCGCCTTATGTGCTACCCCGAGCTCCAGAGAATAGCGGAGCTCTCTGGCAAATGCGTTATTCAGAATCAGGCCATCGCGGACGATACGCCGTGTCAAATGGAGCAGGTCTACCTTCCTCATGGCGTACCGGCGTAAAACAAAAAGAGCTTGGCTGCCCTTCCTGTCGTTCACTTTCTTCTTTTGTCTTTATAAGCATCCAAAGCTGAAACGTAGCCATCAGTATCTGGGGTAGCTTGTGCACGAATTTCAGGAAGAAGGATATCAATTGGCCTTTTCTCTCAAGATGAAGTTCACCTCGGGGATGTGGTGTCTGCAGGTAATTTTCCTCGCTTCTGGTTACTGAATTTGGCATGGAATGAACACTGACACGCAATCGGCTGGCATAGGATGGCGTGAATATTGAGTGGATGAGCAACGTGGAAAGATTTTCAGTTGAACACGACTCGGTCAACCTGCTGTTGAACAAGTTCCAGGCACACCGAGGAAATACCCTCAATTCGCGTGCGTTTTCAATCTTCCCTTGGTATAGGACTCCAGAAGCTAAACGAAAATCTATAGCCACCATCTCCGCACGGGTTACCTCACCACTGGAGGGTGTCATCGGCGTGAAGCTTGTCCATTGGTAAGTACCTCAAGGGCTCAAACCAGAGCTCTCGGTCTCGGTGCTTGTTTTGGCAACGACTAACAGCATACAGGGCTGGCCAAAACGACAACAATCCTCACTACCACCTAAACAAAACCACCGGACACACCAAGATCCAGCACGACGATGCTAAAAAGAAACTCAACTACACAAGCGGGTCACTCAATTTGGCTGTGAGCACCTCCGCCAATGATCTAGCCTTGGAATTCCAATCTCCAGCCAGTAAGAAACTGACAGGCCAATCACCCCGCTCTATCGGATACGTTCGCGACCAGCGCACTGAGAAGCATCGCTATGATGACGGCATATACGCCGAGCGCCAGGGATATATGCTCGCAGGGCTTGACCTCGGCGTTGGCGAGAAAATCTACGGTCTTGGAGAACGGTTCGGCCCTCTGGCTAAGAACGGACAGACGGTCGATATCTGGAATGAGGATGGCGGTACCTCGTCCGAGTTGGCCTACAAGAATATCCCCCTCTATATCAGCTCTAAAGGATATGGTGTTTTCATCAATCATCCAGGCAAGGTTAGTCTGGAGGTGCAGTCTGAGCGCACTACTCGGGTCAATATCTCTGTCCCTGGCGAGGAGATTGAGTACTTTGTGGTGTATGGCGCTACACCAAAGGACATTCTGAATCGGTATACTGCTTTGACTGGCAGGCCGGCTTTGGTTCCGTCGTGGAGCTACAACCTCTGGCTTACTACGAGTGAGTTCGGGATATTCATTTGTTCTGGAAATCTGGAGAAATAAGCTGACATTGTTATACAGGCTTCACGACCAACTATGACGAAGAGACCGTCACTAGATTCCTTGATGGGTTCCGTGACCGCGACATCCCACTAGGCGTCTTCCATTTCGATTGCTTCTGGATGAAATCCTATCAGTGGTGCGACTTCGACTTTGACTCGGAGATGTTCCCGGATGCGTTGGGGTATCTCAAGCGCCTCAAGGAGCGCGGTCTCCGCATCAGTGTCTGGATCAACCCGTACATCGCCCAGGCATCGCCACTATTTGAAGTAGGCAAGAAAAACGGATACTTCATCAAGGTATGTTCCAAGACACTAGCACACAAGAAAAATGATATCGAAGAAACAACCACTAACAACTCACAGCGCATCGATGGCTCAGTATGGCAATGGGACATGTGGCAAGCCGGCATGGCCGTCGTGGACTTCACGAATCCCGCCGCCAGCAAGTGGTACAACTCGCACCTGGAGCGACTAGTGGAGATGGGCGTCGACAGCTTCAAGACCGACTTTGCCGAGCGCATCCCAGTCAAGGGCGTCCAATACCACAACGGCGCTGATCCCGACCGCATGCACAACTACTACGCTCTACTCTACAACAAGACCGTGTACGAGACACTCAGCGAGCGGGTGGGCCACAACCAGGGTCTCCTATTCGCGCGCAGTACCGCACCAGGCGGACAGGCGTACCCGGTTCACTGGGGCGGCGACTGCGAGAGCACATTCGAGGCTATGGCTGAGTCACTGCGCGGTGGACTGAGCCTGATGCTGTCTGGCTATATCTTCTGGGCGTCTGATATCGGTGGATTTGAGGGTACGCCGCCACCGGCACTGTACAAACGGTGGGTGCAGTTTGGTCTACTGTCGACGCACTCGCGTTTGCATGGGTCGTCTTCGTTCCGTGTGCCGTGGATATATGGAGAGGATTGCTCGGATGTGCTGCGGGATTGCGTTAAGCGCAAGATCTTGCTTACTCCGTATATTCTGCAGGAGGCACTGAAGGGCCATGGAAACGGCACGCCGCTTATGAGGCCGCTTTTCTTGGAGTTCCCAGAGGACCTTAACACGTATGCTGTTGATACGCAGTATATGTTCGGGCCGAATTTGCTGGTTGCACCCGTGTTTACAGAGGAGGGAGAGGTAACTTTCTATGTGCCTCTGTCTCCTGATGATGAGGCTGGGAAATGGATCTCGTGGTTTGATCATTCCAAGTCTTATGAGTCTGGTCGTTGGTATACGGAGACTCATGACTTTGATACCATGCCCATTTTAATCCGCCCCGGGTCTGTTACGGTTACCAATCCAACGATCAAGGCCCCTGAGGATGATGCCTTAGAGGGAATTGAGTTGCTGGTCAATGGGCACCTGCGTGTTGAGACTACAGTCGAAATTATCAACTCAGCCCAGTCAGGCGAGATCTTGAAGACTGTCCGGGTCTCTCCTACTGCGGATGGAAAGGCTGAAGCAAGTGGTCACAGTGTGAAATTGGTTTATGTCGCGTAGATACGTATCAAATAGAGAATGAAAATCATGGAACGTATGTCATTTGCATCAAATTGGTCAAGAGTCATATTAGAAAGGTAGGGGAATAGCTCCCACAAGCGGAACTAAACCTCAGTATGAAGTGTGTGGGTATCATATTCAAACAAGTCGCAATGCAAGATGCAAAGTCGAAAAACAAAAGAAAAAGCAAAGAAGAGAAACGTATTCAAAAGCTCGAAGCCTAGGTCTGGTACCATATCGGGCAAGACCAAATCACTAAATGCTGGCAGGCGAAAGAAAAAGAACAATGCATAAGTGCAATAGGCATGGATATGCAATTAGTAAACGTAAAAAGCTTGGTAAAGCAGAATCACCAAACTTCTTCAACGTCAAGGAGCCACTTTCGGATTCCTTCACGCAACGTATTATCAGCACCTGATAGTGCTCTTCTCCGCTCGCGGTCGGCCAGCCCGTGCGTGCTGTCCACATCTTCACGGCAGTGTTCGGCGGTGACAAGGCGGACGACTTCTTCGAGGGCCCCGAGCACCATCTTGCGGCATTCACCACGGGGCACTTCAAGGGGAGGGGCTTCATCGCCTCTGGGAGACGGACCCTTATCTTCAGCTTTACGAGCGCGGTTAGGGGAAGGGGCACGCGACTGTTCCATTGACGAATAACCGCTCTGCCCCAAGACACGCTCGACAGCATCAACTAGAACTCCGTCGAGATCCATCACAGGCTCCTCGATGAACCGCTCTTCCACAAAGGTCTGGTCCCGCTCATCAGTGACGGGGCCGTGGTTAGGTTTATCATGTCCAGAAAAGAAGCTGGTGAATTGTGAGGCTGATGTACCCCCACGGGGGGCAGCGCTGGCAGGCGAAGAAGGAGTATGAGGAGTCCCAGAGCTGTGACCCACTATTATCTTACGTCGCAAGCGGAGTCGTTTCACCGTAGAAGCCTTAGTGTCTGCAATCAAAGTCGTCGCAACATCTACCCATCTCCCATTCATATCCGCATCGGATGTGAATGGGATGTATGGGGATGGTTCAGCCCGCATTGCCTGTTTGATTTCTGCTTCAAGAGTAGCGTAAGGCCGGACCGCCTGGAGCGAGAAATCCTCATGGAAATTCTTCAACCAACCAGCCACATGGGCAGTCGGTCCATCGCTGTCCTTCATAGTACCGGGGAACCCGGAGCCACTGCTGTGCGTAGAAGCAACTGCATCCATGCTGGTGACGGAGGTTCGAGTCTTCTTTGGCGAGGCAATCGTTGAATCACCGGACGAAGAAAGTGACATGAAACCAGGAAGTGGAAGGTCAACATCCACCACGCCTTCCTCTGCTCGGACTGACAACTTCAAAGGCGACTCCCGAACTTGGCTGGTGAGTGATGATGGCTCTGGCGAGGCAGTCTCGGTTTTGTGGGGAGCAGCGACAGATGCAGTTGGAATTGAGATGTTTCCACTAGGCGCTGTTTCGGGCCGGTGCCCATCCTCATTTTCTGTGACTTCCTTGACCATTTGAGTCAAAGTGGTTGATCCGCGTCTAGCAGGACCAGATATTGTAGAGACAGACCCTTTTCGAGCTTCGGATGGGGATGGGGAATATGGCTCGCTACTTCCGGTAGATGAGCCTTGACGGGAGCTCCAAAGACCGGAGAAAATACCACCCCAGCGGCCTCCAGCCGAGGAAATACTGCCGTTTGTGCTCGCTGTAGAGCTGTCACACCGTTGGAGGCTCTTTAGCAGGGTCTCTGATGCTAGGCTCTCGTTGCCTTCGGCTGCACTGCGGTCCGCTCTAGCCTGACTTGAATGGCTTGGCTGAGAAGTAAAATGGGGAACAGGAACAGTACTGCTCTGGGTGATCATAGAAGTAGTTGCTTCGCTCGTATTCATGGCCCGAGCATCCTTCCGGTGCATATTTGCACCCGGGGGTTTGATAGAGCGAGCATCAGACCCTCTGCGGGCCGAGGCTGAGTTTTCCGCCGTTGGAGTTATTTCAGATCCATCTAACGACCGCTGAGCTGTCTCCTGAGACGAAACGCTCACTGACCGCTGGTGGTAATCATTATCGCCCATGATCATTCGCTGAGCACGAGCTCGTCTATCGATCGCTCTCCGGAGAGACTCCTGGCGGAGGATAGGTACAGTCGGCGGGCTTTGAGAGATAGCACGCAGGGAGGGCGATGTGCCAGGCCTGATAGGGGAAGGCAATGGCTCCAGCCGTTGTTTGGAGGGCAAGAAGGCGGCTAGTAGGAACACGAGACGACGAGCAGTCATCTTATCTGGGCATATAATGACTGTTCTGTTTGCAAGAATGAGTTCGCCATCCTGCTGAGCTTTGTGCTGCTGGTTGTGGCGGCGACGGTACCACTCCGGGCCAAGGCTGTTGAGCCACTCGGTGTGATTGCCCAAAAATGCTGTCAAAACCACTAAGAAGAAGAAGTTCTGCTCTTTGTCGCCCAGGCCACGGACAATTGAACGGCCTTCCTCCCGCCAGACGCCCCAGCGACTTTGTCCAGTGACCACATATGGGGTTTGAAGAGCGAGGGCGATCCGGCGAGAGCTGCGAATAGCTTCTTCTTTGAGCTTCGAATTGACCGATAGAATGTTAGCAGGTAAATGCACAATGGTCTGGTTGGTCCGCTGCATATTGGGATGCTTCGCAGGCTTTGGGTGTGGCCCGGATAGAGAGTCCACCTTCTTCAAAAGAAAGAGAATTTCGTTGCGAACAAGTCTTTCGAGATGGGAGAGTGTACGAGTGATGACGTCCCAATGATCAACTAATAAGTCCAGACGCTCGTCCAGACTAGCTGGGGGAGAGGCAGAAGATAGACTGTCGTCAAAGAATGCACCAGGCCAGCGGTGATCGGAGTCCAGCGAGCTTGAAAACCGTGGCCGAGGAGAATCTGGGCCTGGAGTACTAAATCTTGAGACAGGACGTCCATTGTTGCGTGGCAGCAAGGGGATCTGGATCGTAATTGCAACCGCGTACATTGGTGTTTTCTTCTCCTTGATCTTCTTGCGCTTAGAAACATCCGGGAATGGGAACTCCATCTCGGGCAATGACTCTTGGTAAAGAGCATTGGCGTAGTCATGTCGTTCGGCCGACGCCTCCGCTCCTTCGGGAAGATTCACACTGAACATGCGAGTCAAGAGAACCGTGACTTTGGAAGGTGGCTTGTCGTCCACTCCTCGGGCTCCTATCGGAGCCGAGGGATTCCCTGCGGTATAGGCCCGGGAAAGTGGACTGCCGGTGGCGGATGCTGCACTCACCCCGGTTGCCGGGCTTTCATCAGCGGAAATTATGTGCATTTTGGTAGACGACCCCCGATAGCTGAAGGCGCTGCTGCCGAAGATGCAGTTCAAAAGGCCGGTATCATTAGAGTCGGAGGAGTGTCGCGATGAGCCAGGATCATGCCATGTCCCCGGTGGTGCCAATGTAGAGCTACGGCCTCGAGCACGGGAAAAGGCACCTGGACCGCCCGGTGACGACCGGCGTGCCTCTGCAGCTGCGGAGAGGGGACTCGAGTCGAGGAGGGAGGATTGAGGATTGCGACGAGTTCCACGAGAAAGACTTGAGGCTGCTCGAGTATGTCTAAGACCCGCCTGGTCGTTGCCTTGTGGGTCGATTCCAAGACCGGCGGGAGAAGAATCGGACGCACGAGTGTCAAGTAAGACACATGCATCTCGGTCGCCCAAAGCATTTTGTGCGACAATCACACGGAAATCTTTGATTGCATCCAATTCCATTCCCCCACGATCATCATATGCACCAGCAGTCGAGGCATTCGGAGAATTGAAAGTCGTCTGCAATGGGAAGGCATGGGTATGAGAACGTCGAAGGAGGCTGGCGTCGGGGAAAAGAAGACCGGAGGTATGTTCCTCTTCGGTCACAGACTCAAGAGGCGTTCCATTGCTTCGTCCAGAGTATGTCACCGGGTTCAGAGTCGACACAGCGCTACTCAAGAGTCGGCCAATCATGATGAATGAGAACGGGGAAACCCGCAGAGTGAACAAGTACTTAGTTGTAGGGATAGAAAACGGGCCGGTCGAATTCACGTAGTGTAACGGTGGGTATCAGGCAGCTAGGGTATCTAGGCTGCATCAACCCATAGCTTAATTCAACGAAGCAAGAATCATCATCGAACTATGAGAGGAATTGAGAAGATCCAGAGTTATGGGAGGGGAGTGGAAGTGGAAGGTGGGATGAGGTGCAGCAGTGGGGCTTGGATCAGCAATTATGAGGTAGAAATTGGCTTTGCACCCATGAGGACTCCACAGTCTAAGCAGGATCGTGTGGAAGGCAGGAGGTTCAATGAAATAATCCCAGAGCTTCTCTAAGGGACCCAGTTGCTGGAATAGAGAATCCAGCAGAGCAACCACCGGGGAGCGGAAACGCGAAAGGGCGGTGAAGCAAGTCACATGATATCAGCCTCATCACTTACGGTGACCGATAGTGAACATTTTGGCAGATGTCTTTTTTCTCATATAACATCGATTTGATTCTGACTCTGATAGATGCCCTCCTAGAAACAAACCCGATGTACGACAGTTAGCAGTATAAGAAGAGCCTATTTTGATCAGGTATTACCGGCTATTGGGACTACATCCAACGGTACCCATACCAACCACTAATACTAGCCACCATGTCGCTATAAACTACCGTCATCGTGTCACCGTATAGTCGGGTTTACAAGGAATCGTGTTACTCGGAGGCGCTGATTTGTGTGATTTCCAACGCATATGAATTTGGGATTGGAGGGAAATGCTTCATCTTCCAAATACTACTCATGATCGACACATGCCACCTCTACACCGTCACTCATACCTCGTGTGATACAAGCATCATGCCTGCAACCCCGAATGCCACACCTCTTGACATGCTGTAATCATCATGTTTTTTTTTTTTTTTCAATTCCCCGACCTGTTCGCCGTTCCATCCACGTGTTTCTGCGCTTCAGCCGGTTCTTTTTCGTTTTTCCGTTTTCGTCCCCTGTAGTAAATTGACACGAGGCGTCACATTGACTGTCAGCTATTCCATACAGCATGTTACTATGTTGTAGCATCTTATTTGATATTTTCAATCTACATGTGTAAAAGAATTCATAGCTGAAAGTTCAATTTCGTTTATTGAACTCGGTGTATTAACTTCCAAATCATTTCAGTTCTATTATACTCTCAGTGAGAACGCTTGACTTTTGCGACCAATCGCTTCAACTCCTCGGAACTAGACTCCTTGGAGGACTTCTTCTGCTTCTTCTTGCTATCCAGGTTCTCTGTTGGAGCCTCAGCCTCGGCATCATCACCGGTACGTCGGCGCTTGCGGCCCTCGTCCAACAGGGCCTTCATGCCAGAAGTAGACTTGAACCGAGGATTGGTAGGATCAATGGCGAAATCATGAGTGTCGTACAGACGTGAGAAACGGGGATCGCTGACATTGACTTCAAAGTCATCTGTCTGGGCAAGTTCCACCTTCTTGCCCTTCTTGCCCTTGCCCTTCTTCCGGGCCTGTTTCTCGGCCTTTTCAATCTCGTTCATGTCGAAGTGTTTGATGTTGATCTTTTTGTCATCTACCATCAGCAGCTCCAACTCAGCTCGTTGGGCAGCTGACGCGGCTTCCTCGGCAGCACGCTCCTCACGCTTCTTGCGCCTCTCCTCCTTGCGTCGAGAACCTGCTGTGGCCTTTCCATCGGGGTCATCAAAGAAGGGATCATTGAATCCCATTTCTTCTTCCTCTTGCTGTGGCACCTCGGCTGGGCCCATCTTGGCTGGATCAGCTTCATTGTCTTCACTGTCCGCGGCAGCGCCATCCTCTGTAGATGACTTGGCCTTGAGTTTCTCCTTTCGGCGCTTTTTGCGCTCACGCTCCTTCCGCACATACTTGTCAATTGTGCTTTCTTCGATCTCCGGTTCATTTTCGAAGATAGTATCCTTGCCATGGCCGCCAGCCAAGCCCGATGTGAAAGTAACCTCCATCTCGCCAACGGGGCGTTCAGCTCTGGTGCGGGTAGGCTCGACGCTCAGACCCAGTAACGCACGCATGCGCTGTCTCTCGGCCTCTTTCTTGGATAGCTTTGTGGTTGTAGCTTCTCCTGCAGTATTATCGACAACTTCGACGCCTCCGTCCTCGTCATCCGATTCTTCGTTCTCGGAACTATCGCTACCGAGGTAGGCTTTCAGGTCATTCTCGTCAATGTCCTGACGTGAGCCCCGGAAGGCACGTGCCTGGGCTTCTTTTCTTGTTTTGTCATCCGCATCCCATGTCAATTTGACCTTGCTGTGCTGCAAAGCATCCGTTACAAACTCAGTAGGCTTGTAGCCGTCGGGGATCCGAGAACACTCGTCCCGGGACTTGTCGTCGGAGAAGTCAGTGTCCTCAGGCACGAAGCGAAGATCGAAGAAGTTGGCACTAGATAAATATTCAACACCATCCACCAGATCGTAGACATGCTTTGCGACGTCTTTTGATGAAAATTTGATAATGGCGTAGTAATACCGCAGTCGGTCGAGCTGATACCGCCGTAGCTGTGTAGAGTTGAATTCTTCACCATCGTCAGCCTTCAACATGGACTTCTTAATTTCCTCCTCCTCCTCATCAGAGTCAAGTTCCTCCTCTTCGGACTCTTGGCTGGTGTTCTTTTTCTTCCCAGAAGCAAAAATCTCTTTCGGGGGGCCTTCAACCTCCTCCCTCTCCATGCGCTCCTTTCCAAATTCGCTAGGGTAGACTGTGGCGTTCAACACTCGCCCCCCAGACGGAAGGAAACTGGAAAAGACTGCCATCAAGTCCTCGGCACGAATATTTTCCCAATCGAGGTTGACAACAGCTATCCGATCCGTCACTTCGCCGAGTGGCACATCGGACCGTTGCTCGTCCGGGAACTCGATCACATCCTCGTCCGCCTCGTCTTCTTCTTCGTCGGAGCTTTCTTCTTCAGATGACGAGGACTCAAAGCCGCCATCACGGGCAGGATCATATGAAGCAGCATTGACCCGTTTCAATTCTTTTTGGACATCTTCGTCGTCGTCGGCACTGTCCTCATCTTCGTCTTCATCTTCGTCTTCATCTTCATCCACCTGGTAAAACTGCTTCAATTTTTCCTTAGTGTCGTCTTTTCTAAGCTTTCGTCCATAGCGATCGACAGGAGCGTTGCTGGAGAAATCCTTATCGTCTAGCACATGCGCAAAGCGCTTATCGAGTTTGACGTGAGTCTGGCGTTTGCTGGGAAGACGGTAGCGAGGATCGGTCTGGATGTTCGCAAATCGAGGATCCGCTACAGAGACACAAAGAGTCAGTAATCATGGTCATGAGGTTTCCTGAAAACAAAGTCTTAAGCTTCCGCTGGACGTACTGATTGCTGGACCGGCTTCGCCTTTGGACTTGCCAGCCTTGGACTTTTTCTTGTCTGAGCCTGCCATTGTGAGCGCTAGGAAATTTCACTTTGCATACCACGAGCAGCAAGAAAATTCTTTTAATGCTTGAGTATCAATAGATATCGTCGGATTCAGCAAGTGAAAATAGTCGAGACCAATAAATTATTTCTTTTTTTTCTGCCGTCGAAGTCAGGGCGGTCAGGCACGTGTATTCTCAAAATGGCAAGTCTTCTTTTGACTTTCCCATGCAGAACAACTTGACAACATAAATTGTAATAGTATCTACTTGAACTTGAGTAAATCTGCAACTTTTTTTATAAATATGCTTTTGCTAAGTGACAATCCTAACAACCCAATGCTTGGTCTCTAAGATAAATCATAAGGGGTGGATCAACATATATACTTGAAGACGCAACAAATGAATGAATATTTCAGCATCCGAAGTATCGCTTCTCTATCCAGCGCGGTTCTCCTTCTTCTTCGATACGTCCAACAATCACATTGATCCTAGGGTATACGGCAGTGAGCCTCTTAAGGCCCCGTTCACCTGCTGCACAAGTTACGAAAACGATCCTCCCTTGTTCCACCCCATGATCAATCAAGACGCGAACAGCCATAAGTGCAGCACCTCCACTTGACATCTGAGAGTCAATTAGTATGACAGTTGTATGCTCTTCGATACGAGACGGAAGTTTCAAGTAATGCAACTCCGGCTCCTCGTTGCTCTCGTTCGTTTGAATGAGCAAACGACCAGTGAGACAGTCGGGAATGGATCGCTTAAGCGCGGTCTCCATGCAAGAGCCTCCACGTAAGATAGCCACGGCTGATACGATACCCTTGGGGTGCAAACCGAGGTACGTGCTCCCTTGTGGTGTTTCCACATTTGCGGATACATACGATGTCATATCCAGGGCCCTGCAACAGTGGTGTCAGTAAAGCAACTAGAAGGCGCTATGCTCACAGGACTCAAGTTCTTCTGTGGGCGTATCGTTGGGAATTGGGAGCATGAAGGAGCGCAGTACCTTTCAATCAAGATCGAAACCAGTCGATCAAAGTAAAATATGAAATCCTCTTGCTGGGTTTCTGGGGTCTGCAGAATAGTATTCATGCCAATAATCTGCGGTGTCGAGGGCAAGACGTGTACATTTGAAGGCAGCTCCACTTCTGCTGCAACCAAACCTAGTTTGCGAAGCGCTTCGGTATGGTTATCAGATTTCTCCTGCAGCTTGCGTTGAATGTGTTTGACCACCATGTCTGAATTAGTTAGTGTATAGGTCTCAAAACGAGCAGCTCCAGGGGTTGCACACCAATAGCGGTCTTGTTCTCAATGCCACGCGGGATAATGATGTCTAGGATTCAAAATTAACAATGGTATCCCAATGCTTTGTAAAGTCATATGGCTACCAACCTGAGATAGAGCGTTGAGGCTCCACAAAACGAGTGTAAGAAGGCTTCACAAATTCAAACCATTGTTTGATGATTCCTTCAATATCCCGCCCTCGCTCACGGACGTCACGCAAGACTATACATTGTCAGCTGGGTTCAGTAGCCCGGTTGAGATAACTTACTTCTGCGACCTAAGCACACATCCATATCTGCTTCAACAAAGA